ATATGACCTGATTCAAAAGACACGGTCTTCAAATTAATTAATTAAGTGGGACACATTTAAAAAATTAAAAAAAATACACTAAATTTTAAAGTTATAACTAAACTGAAGAATGAAATACATGAATGTTAATTTTTGAGCCTGCTTTGTTTTGAGCAAAATCAATCAAGTTGATATAATTTTCAGTCAGTTAGTATTTATAATTTATCAATATAGTTTCATATACTATAATTTATACATAAACATATAAAGAACTCCTATGCAATTTATATTTTATATATAGATCAGAGAGAGAAAGACGTGCTTGTAAAAAAAAAAAAAAGCAGAGAGAAAACGATGGGAAACACATGACTTTGTTCTATTTAAAAATACAAATTAATGCGATGGAAGCGGCTATTTATTGTTGCAGGATTCCACCACAAATTCCCGTACAATGTCGAGTTGACGGGAAACTATAAAATGTGAAGTTCGCAGCGATTCAAACCCAAAGTCATGCTCCACAGCGCCAGACAAATGACACCTTTTAATTTTTCACTGAAAAAAATGAAAATTTTCACAAATTACTAAATTTTAAATAAAAATATGTTATTATTTACAAGTCTATTATTGTTAAAATTTTGTTATTAAACCTGATTTGAGATTTGATAATTTTAAAAATTTTTACGTGGAATTTTTCTTTTGAAAAACTTAAATAGACGCGATAGTTTTCAATGTTATTTTTATGTATATGAGGAGGATGATTCGATAATAGATTACACAAGACTCATCGCGAGCTAATTCATTGTCGGCTGCTCAACAGTTATGTATTCAGCTTCAAAACAATCAACGCGGGGCCGAAATTTATCAGGAAACAAACACAAGCAAATTTATTTTTACGTTTAGATATAAAATCACTGATCCAAAAAAGATATTTTTCCATAAAATCATTCACTGTGATATTTATATTTATAAATGGTGAATAATATAACTTCCCTTAAATCTTACTATATATATATAAATACGAAACCTAAAATGTAGTTTGTCCTGATTTATAAGTGGCTCGATAAATTAAATAAGCATACAGCACACGGGGTAATTAGTTTAACAATTTCTCCTTCCACTCCTATTAAGTTATAGTTTTTGGGATCATCTGGTTTCATCTATAAATGATAAAATACACTTAAAACATGTTTTCAATTTCAACTAGTCTTTTCTTTTTTCCGATTAACTACATATTTATATCTCTGCCTTAATTATTCTTACACACACTCTCCCGGTCTATCCCAATAAATAAGAATATTTTTGAAAAATAAGATATGTATTTTTTTACATATTTATTGCATTTAACAATTCTTACCCGGTTTTTTCAATATCTTTTATATACGATCAAAATGAGTAAAATTTTAGGCAAATCATGTGGCGGGCGAACCCACCACCGCGACTGTGTGTAATTTTAATTACCATGGCTTAGTATAATCATTGGACCATTATAATGAGTCACGGAAGGTCGAATTTTAATGGCACAAATACCATTTTGATATGGTTTTGGAGACAAGTTTTATATTATCCGTTTTTTGGGCCGAAAGGTATATGTTATCCTTTTAATTTGATATGTTAATATGAAGTCTTAATGGGCCTGTCGGATAAACTTTACGAACATATTAACATGATTAGGCCCATTGTTTGGCTTTATGACATTAATTAATCTCAGATTTTGAGACTTGTGCTGGTTGGCTGGTCAAAAAAAAAAAAAGGACTTGTGCTGGTTGCATTGCCAAAAAAAAAAGAAGAAAACCTGGGGCTAGAAAAAAGGGGTAGAGAGGCCTCAGAAAAAACTTAAACCTTATCCATACTAACATATGTGGTCCTGTTACACCCGCGGCTATGGGTGTTTTAAGTATTGAGAAAATGACCCAAAAAAAATCTAAATAAATAAAATGACCAAATAGATATGAGGTATAAATTTGAAACTTACAGATTTTGGTAAAATAACTAATACACTCTTAGAATAAGAAGAAAAAGAAAAGGCGGTCGAATATTTTCATATACTAACACATTAATTAAAATAGGTTGCAAAACTTATTATGCAGAAAAATCATCTGGAGCTAGAAAGAAGGGGCAAAGAGGCCTCAGAAAAAATTTAAACCTTATCCATACAAACATATGTGGTCCTGTTACACCTGCGGCCATGGGTGTTACAATTGTTTCGTCATTTCTTACGCAAAAAAGGGCATTTCCTCGTTTTTTTTTTTTGGTTTCAATAACAGCGCCGCCATAATGATTAGATGAGACTTGGGTTAAAACTCGTGATTAGTCAGTGATTATATGCAGATGCTGAATAAGGTGTATATGTCAAACAAAATTAAAGCAGAGCATAAACCAGTGTGGAACACATAATCCCAGAAACAGATTGTTGGAAAGAACTTGGATGAAAATTTAGAGATGATTACATACGAAAGGTCAACGAAAAATAATTCAGTATGTGGACCCAGTCCATACCCAAAATATAAACATCCCATGTCATATGTTTTGTGTCTCCATTTGAGTGGGTTATGAGGATAGAGAGAGGCGATGGCGATCGAGAAGGAGATGGCAGAACTGGGCCTTCTGGACACGGTCCCTCGTCACTTGATGCCTGCTGGTTCATTCGAGGCTTACAAATACATAGCAGATATTCTTCTTCAGGTCACAGTGGTCCCTGCTGTGTGAAACACGTTGGTTTGGTTGGATCTGGTGACTTTAAGGGTGTGTTTAGTATGAGGGATTTGGGAGAGAGAGAAGGGAAAGGGAGGGATTTTAATTATTTTCCCTTGTTTGGCAACACACAAATTTTAGGAGGGGAGGGAAAATTTTAAAAAATTTTCCCTCCCCTCCCCTCCTCAACCTCCCCTCCAAAATTGGGAGGATTTGGAGGGGAAGGGCAATATTTTGCCATATTGTGACCATTATGCTCATATTTTGTCATGTTGTGATCATTATACCCATATTTTATCATGTTGTGACCATTATACCCATATCTTAAATAAAATAAGAACAAAATTGTCCATATTAAAATATTTTTCCCTCCCCTCCCCTCTTTTTTTATAAATCCAAACAAGATAATATTAAAATCCTTCCACTCCCCTCCCCTCCCCTTCCTTCCATTAAAATCCCTCCCCTCCCATTTCTCTCGTTGAGCCAAACATACCCTAATGGAAGCTGAGTGAATAGTCCAAGCTTATGATGCATAGTGGGGAATACCTGCACCTCATAAATTAAAGCCCTTTTTACCTGCCCTAAAACGAGGGGAAAAATTGATTAGCGTGTATAATTTTAGGCAATAATCATTAATATCATCTTAGTATAACCCATTTCTTGAGGCATACCTATGTCTGATAAAGGCATAAAGCAGCTTTAGGACCCAAGCGAAATCAAATCACAATTCGGACCTGGTTTGTCTCAGTCTCGCACATTAACTAGGGCTTTTTTGGGTGCCCCAAAACCATGGTTCTTCCAGGCAAAATCATGGTTTGGAGTAGAGTGTCATCTAAACAATATTAAATTTGGAGAAATAATCTGAAATCATAGTTTGGGTCAAAATCATAATTTTGGAGTCTAAAACTATGATTTCAGAAAAAGTGAACCTATTCTATTTTTGGCTCAAATTGGAAAGTATGATTGTACTTGTCAGAGTAGATCTTAACAATAATATGACATTAACATCTCTCAATTATTTTTTTAGAGACATGTTTAATCTTATATCTTATAAATATATATACACATATTAATTAATTATTAATTATATTATCTTATGTATTATTAATTATGTTGGTAAAAAATATATTATTAACAATTTTATTTCTTCAAATTAAAATGTATTATAAAATCTATCTTTTATGTAATTATCATATTAACTTATACTTTTTTTAGTAATTTGTGTATATAAAAAGTGCTTCTGATAACAACTATCCAAATACTCTTACCTCTCAGAATTACTTTTTTACAAAATCTATTCTCCCTAGAATCTATTATCTAGAAGCTATTTTCCAAACTATGGTTTGTTTTCATCCAAACACTCTCTAAATGCAACATTAAAGGGGTGTTTGGATAGAAACAAAATCATAGTTTCAAAAGTAATATTACAATTTACAAAGTAAATATGTAAAGAAATTTATTTCGATTTACAGAAAAGTGTTTTTAAAAAGTAGTTATAGACTCATCCAAATAACCCCTAGACTCAGAAGAAGTGAACCGGAAAAGAAAAGAGCCATCACTGTAGGAGTTATTATCCCCAAAAAAAGTCAACTCTTTCGAAATCTACGCCCCATGTTACACGTATATGCCTTACATGGGTTCAACTTTTAAACCACGAAAGGGAAAAACTCCATGGACTCGTCTTTTTCACGGCACGGAATGTCTCCATTTACTGCCTCTCTCCATTTCCTCTCTATTGAGCCCAAGCGCACCATTTTCTTAATAAAACAAAATCTGGGCCATTCTTTTTTCCATTCAATCGGGCCGTTCAAACTTCTCTTAAGTTACTTCATGAAACTAAAAACATTACCTCCGCCCCACCGGTCATCAGCTGCTTTGTCATTGCCACCGCCGCCAGTTTGGTGTGCCTCCACTGCATTCGATCCCCATCTCTCATCTTCTAAGAAGTACTCTCGGAGGTTCTAGTTATGAGAAAATTTGGGTGCTTTGATTTGAGCAGCGTTAGAGCAGTAGTCAAATAACTTACTGAGAAAATGCACCAAGCCCATACTGAATAATACTTTTTATTATTATTGATTAATTCTCATCAGTACATCAGGACTATTTATAGGCCTCTGAATGAATCCTATGCGCAGGCCCATAACAAACGTAGACCCAAATACGTAACAAACTAAACAGGGCAATTAGACCCAACAGATTACACCTATCTGACTATTTTCTATATACAACAAGTTACATACATAACTGAATATTTTCTACACTCCCCCTCAAGTTAGGAACTCTATATTCACAAGTTCCTAACTTGCTCAAAATATATTCATGCTGCGGACCCCCAAGAGATTTGGTTAAAATGTCTGCTAGTTGCTCCTCTGACTTGACATGTCTGAAATTTATCATTCCAGCTAGTAGCTTTTCCCTTACAAAGTGACAGTCAATCTCAATATGCTTGGTTCTTTCGTGAAAAACAGGATTAGAGGCTATATGGATGGCAGATTTGCTGTCACAGTATATTGTTACAGGTTCAACCTCATGAACATGTAATTCCTTCATTAGTCCTACAATCCATGTGATTTCAGCAGATGCCATTCTTAAAGCTCTATATTCTGCTTCAGCGGAAGAAATAGACACTATGCTTTGCTTCTTACACTTCCAGCAAACAAGTGAACCTCCTAATTTAATTAGGAACCCAGTGACTGACCGCCTTGAATCTATACAGCCTCCGTGATCAGAATCGCAGTAACATTCCATGTTGGTAGATCCGTTAGCTGAGAGATAAACTCCACGGCCTGAACTGTCTTTAATATATCTAACTAGCCTTAGTGCTGCCTTCATGTGTGATTCTTTAGGTTCTTGCATGAATTGACTCAAAACCTGCACAGTAAACGACATATCAGGCCTGGTTAATGTCAGATACAGCAACTTACCAACCAATCTTCTGTAGACACTAGGATCATCAATGTATTGATCATCCCTTTTTACTTGTGCTGTGAGTTTAAGGTTTTGCTCCATAGGAGTTCCAGCAATTTCAGCTTCATCTAATCCTGTTTGGTCAACAAGTTCAGTAGCATACTTTCTTTGGTTGAGTATAATACCCTGATTTGACCTTAGAACCTCTAAACCCAGAAAATATTTCAATACTCCTAAATCTTTAATTTTAAATTCATTATGCAGAAAAGATTTCACTTCATTAATAATTTGAATATTACTTCCAGTTATCATCAGATCATCAACATAAGCAAGAAGAAACACAACCCCAGAATTAAATTGTTTCTGAAAAAGGGCATAGTCATGTTTGCTTTGCTGAAAACCCCCTTTAATAAGGGACTGAGTAAGTTTCTCATTCCATTGCCTTGAAGCTTGCTTCAATCCATATAAGGATTTATCAAGCTTACAAACCTTAAACCTGTTAGAATCAGTCTCAAAACCTTGAGGCACAGTCATATAGACTTCCTCATGTAATTCCCCTTGTAGAAAAGCATTATCCACATCCATTTGGATCTGAATCACGTTTGAGCAATTCCAATATTTGCTTGTATTGATCAGGTGTGAACCAAGGAGCCTGAGAGTTTGGAGCATCCTGGTTGTTGCTTGATTTCCCAGAATCATCAGCTCCATTTACAGCTTGATTTCCTTTATCCTCAGGAGTCCTTTTGGTCCTATTAGAACCAAAATTTGGTGGAAAACCAATAAGCTGATAACAGCTTTCCTTTTGATGACCCTTTCTATGGCAGTAACTACATTCTTGTTCTGATCTTCCTCTACCACGCCCTCTGCCACGTCCTCTGCCTCCTCTTGAAGCATTAGAGGCTAAAATAGAGCCTTCAGAAGAGGAATGTGATGTCCCATAAGATATCTGTCTCTGCATTTCTTCCTGAATGGCCATGGAGTATGCTTGATTGGGGGATGGCAGAGGCTTCATCAATAATATTTGACTGCGTATTTGGTGAAAAACTTCATTCAGGCCCATAAGAAACTGGAACAACCTTTGCTCTTGAATACTTTTCGCATATTCCTTGGAAGAAGGACATGAACAGCTAGGGATAGGAACTATTGCTGCATGCTCATCCCACAGTTCCTTTAGTTTAGTGTAATAGGCAGATACAGATAAAGTGCCTTGGGTGAGGGAGTTTATTGAACGGTATAAGGAAAAAATTTTCGCACCATCAACCACAGCAAATCTCTCTTTAAGATCCGTCCATACTAAGTGTGCATTTGACAAAAAAACTAAACCACTAGCAATCTGGTTATCTACAGAATTAATTACCCATGAAAGCACCACGGCATTACATCGATCCCATTGATCCTGGAGGTTGGAATCTTGCTTTTCACGAGTACACGTCCCCAAAACAAACCCCAGTTTATTCTTGCCAAGAAGTGCTAATTCCATGGCTCGACTCCAGACAGAGTAATTGTCAGAGCCACGGAGAATTTGTGAGACAAGCGTATTGGCTTGTGTATCAGTAGGATGTAAATAAAGGGGATGTTGAAAATCCAGAACCTGAGATTTTGAATCGCCGTCTGTCATTATGATGAATCTTGAAGAAACTATCGGGAAAACGTGGCTTGAACGAATCTATTAGTGGAGGGTACACACGAACCACTCCTGAGCTGAATCTCTGAAACGACTGAGTCGGCAGTAAACAAGAAATCACAATCTGAGTTTGAGTGCCGATGGAGTACAAAGGAGGAGGAAGCCGGGACTGTCGACGATGATGAATCGGTGCTGTGAAAATTCCAGCTAACTGATTTCTTGTCCTCTAACGGTTGCACAGCAGTGAGGACCAAGATTGGAAGAATGATCACTCGATCATGAGACTATGGACACAAGAAAAGAAAACGATCACTTGATCGGGAGAACGCGGACGCAAGATTCAGGGAATGATGAAACTGAGTTGATGCGCAGCGAAGAATCACAGAAACGTCGCAACCACAGTCGTGCCCTGATCTTGAACAATAAGCTGAAGAAACTGGGTACCCGAATGAATCAACAAATTTGACCCGGCTCTGGTACCATGAGAAAATGCACCAAGCCCATACTGAATAATACTTTTTATTATTATTGATTAATTCTCATCAGTACATCAGGACTATTTATAGGCCTCTGAATGAATCCTATGCGCAGGCCCATAACAAACGTAGACCCAAATACGTAACAAACTAAACAAGGCAATTAGACCCAACAGATTACACCTATCTAACTATTTTCTATATACAACAAGTTACATACATAACTGAATATTTTCTACACTTACCATTGCTTTTGCTTTGATCGGCGTTCTTCTGTTTGATGTATATAACAAGAAAACGTTGTAGTTCTCCTTCACATTTCCGAAGCAAGGTTCTTGCCGTTTTTCTTTCATTGAAAGTTTTGTAAGTTGTGAGAAATTGGATGAGTGATGAAACAGGGAGGAGAGAGAGGCACGACTATGACAGAAGATGAGAGATGGGGAACAAATGTGCGATGCTATTGCCCACATTGAACGAAAAAAAAAAAGCCAAAAAGAAGTTTGAACGGCCCAGATTGAAAGGAAAAAAAGAATGGTCCAGATTTTGTTTTATAAAACAAACGTTGAGCATGGGCTTAGTGGAGAAGAAATGGAGAGAAGCAGTAAATGGAGACATTCCGTGTCGGTATTTTTCATATTCACATAATACTTTCCTGGTTATAAATATAAGACTTTTATACAGTGTATATAAAAATCTTATATTTAGGATTAAATGAGTATTTCTATTTGTATTGAGCTTGAATCCGAATCTATTAAGTGAACGAGGTATAATTCAACAGAAACAAATACTACCTCCTATCCTTAATTTAATGATTAATTTGATTTTTAATTTGATTATAAGTACAAGATTCTAATCTGCTTTATTTTTAGTATTTATCTATTTTTTTTAAAATAGTCAGTTATATATGTTAAATGCTCCATCAAATGATGATTCTAACTAATATACATAATTATCAAGGATATTCTCAAAAAGATAACACTATTTATTATAAATAAATATTTTAACTAATTTTTTTAATATCTCCAGATTAGCTAATTAGGCCTTATATTAAGAACTTGAGGTAATATATTATTAAAATGTACCGGATCATTACTTTACAATTAAAAACACCTTTTGTTTAGTTAGTAGCCTCTCAGTTTTGACGTTTTTTCCTTTTCCTTAGTATCCAAAAAAAAAAAATTTGTTTAACCTTGTGTTCGATATTACTCTATCCACAAAGATCGTTACAATAATTTGTTGCTAGCGGATATATAATAACCGAGATTCATCAATATATATATAGGAAAAATGAAAAAAATGCGGATTAATAAATATAACCGTCTATGAGACGCTTTGATTAGAGGAGAAGTGGATGCTTCTTTTACAGGAAAAAGGATTTTATTGCCATCGTCATTTGTGGGGGTCTTCAAAACTATCATGATGCTACGGGAATTTGCCCACTTCAGATTTGCTGGCGAACGTGGAACTTTCTCCCCTCTTGCTTTCACTTCCACTGGAAGATTAATTTGCAATTCCTTGTAGTTTGTTATTCCCTCAACTATATCCTTCAGCTACATCTACTACTCTTCAAAATATTCTTTTTTTTCTTAATATAAGATCTATTTTTTACACCACAAAATGAATTTTATATTTAGAACCGGAAAAGTATTTAAAAGCATCTGAATGTGAACTTCTTTTCCATGTTTAAATTTGTGCTTGAAAAATAATTTCTAGATCCTTGCAAACCGTTGATGTCGAAGCAGCTCATTTAACCCTTTTCGCCCTCCCTCATGATCAATCACATTGACTCAGAACTTCACGATTTAAATTTTTAATGGAAAGTAAAGTCAGCTATATGTCATGCAATTGTTTTACTTGGAAATGGCCGCCACTTTAAATCAAGACACGTTAATACATATCACGTATGCGACTATTAAGTATTTACACAACCGTAAAAATGTTACATCGACATTAATATTAACTACTCATATGACCATGAACTCGTCGTTGCATTATTTCCTTTAATTACCACACGACATTTAAATAATTTTTCTACTAAACCATAAAAGGCGCATCCCCCACCTTTTATTTTAGGAAGAATTGTCATAAAATTCTGAGTAAGAAACATAATTACTAAAAAGTCTAAATAATAATAGAGCAACAAGGAATAACAAGTTTTATGACTATTTACTTATTATTAGGATTTATTTGTAATTTTTTTTGAAAATCTCATTATAATTCTATTTTTATTTTACGGACAAGAAGGTCATGTAAATATTTAGCCCGCCAATCTCGTTTTGTTTTTTTATTAGTAATCCTAATGATGATTTTGTCTGTAAGTTTGGTGGTGTCGCAGGGCCCTTTTCCTATGGGAAATGAATTTGTTTTACCCATCGCCGGCCGGGAAAGGACCAGAACGGCTGGTCTCTGGCTTCAGGCGAGAACGGCACGTCTTTCCTGAAGTTTTGTTTCGTCCCATGTTTTTGGGGTCCTTGTACGTCAATGAAGGAGTCAACAAAGCAAACAATTGGGCCCACCATGCGGCCTATGTCTTACTTCTTGGGCTGATCGGGCTGAAATAAGCCCATACGGTTCAGCTAGCTCGCTAGTCCTCGCTCTTAAATTGCTCCACCTACCCACCCATCAGAATTCTCTCTGGAAAGTGAGAAAAAAGGCAAGGAAGAGAGGAAAAAAGAGGAAGAAGACGAGAAGAATTCAGAGAGGAGATACTTGTGCTCTTTCGCTCATTCCCAGACTTGGGACTCAGTAACCCCCTCTGATTTTACGAGCTATCCCTTTTTAGCTGAAGCTGCACAAGTTTTTAAATACTGCTGCTTCATATTCTTCTTCTGTTTTTACCCTTCTTATGGTCGCTGACTGCAAGTGCTCTGATCCCTCTCAACATGCGACGGTTCATTTTGTTAATTACCATCTGAATTTTCCCATTTCGGGGTTTTTTTTATATCAGCAGGATGAAGCGCAAGTTCACTGCTCTGGAATATTTTCTACTTTTGGCGGCTCTTCTTGGTTTCAATGCACGGGCCTCCAATGTGGTAAGAAAATAAAATTCTGTTACTTTGAATTTCTGGAGTGAAGTTCAGAAATTTAGTTGGGGTACATTGCAAACCCCTGTATTGAGGCTTCTTTTTGTTTGTAGACAGTAAATGAGACGACTTGTGGTTCCTTAAACGATCCTCAGGATAGAGAAAATGGAGGTTTGCTTTCTACTTCCTTTAATTTTTTCCCCCATGTTCATCTAATTTTCTCGTAATCATATCTATTTTCCCCGAGGGTCGTCGTCGTCATCAATAGAATAGTCTCTCATAGTTAAATTTGTTGTGCATGAAGTGCGACCATAGGAGAAGTTGAGATGACAAGTGAACACACTTGGGAGATCAACTTACGATTTTAACACACACTTTATGTTATTCACTGATCCTCCGTCAGGATGTAGCGAGTGGATTGATTTGGATAAACAGAGTTCTTATCTTCTTTATGTATGGGTTTCCCTAATCTTCTAATTCGGCCGCCCTTTGTTTTTTTTTTTTTTGGTGGGGGGGGGGTTTGAGAAAGAGGGAACTTGACACGTTATCCTAGTGCACCACCTCATTCGTGCTCAAAATAGCTTCTACATGAATTGTATAAACTATCATATATTGGTTAAGAATCCTAGAGAATGGGTTTTTAGATTATACCGTAGGGTACCTTTAATTTTATAATGATCTATTTGTTTGATAGCATGTAATCTTTAGTATGCATTTCTTCTGAAGGTGAATTTTTTTTTTTTGACCAAACTTCTGAAGGTGAATGAATTCACATTTTGATAACTTCATTTTTAATATGTTGAAATTGACTCTGTACGCATCATGATGTCTGTGTGGTTTCCGATCACTCGTGCCTCAGTATTTAAATGCCTTTCTTTTTCCCAACCCTGGACAGATCCATGCCCAGTTGGTTGGGTCGTTGGCCCTGATAAAGCCAGGTGCTTTCACCATGTTGGAAAGCCTCAATCTTGGAATGACTCGGAGACCCATTGTAATAAATGTGGTGGACATCTGGCTTCTTTGATGTCTATTCCAGAACTGCACTTTGCTCAGAGTCTATGTGGTGACAGTTGCTGGGTTGGAGGAAGAAGAATTAACTCTTCCGCTGGTTATGAGTGGGTGTGGTCTGACAAATCTCAATGGAATAAGTCCATGTTTCCTTTGTCGCTCGATCCAACTAATTGTACTGGATCATTCTGCAACACGAAAGGTGCAGTCAATATATGTACAGTAATGACCAATCATTCAGATTCTATGATGAATGATAGATGCGACAAGCTGAATGCTTCAGTGTGTGTACTTGATATAGGTATGTCCTTGCAGTGTATATAACTCCCAGGCCTCTTTTATCTTTAATCCATATAGAATTCTCTGTTATGATTCTCCAACTATTTCATTTACTCCCAACAAACTTTTTTCCTCTTTATTGAGAAATATGTTGCTTGTGCTACTTTTATTCTTCTATATTGCTTGAATTTTAATAATCTTGTTGACCACTGACTATAATTTTACTTTTAATTGGTCCCAGATAAAAAATGTTACCACATGCGCTGCCACAGGGAATATCTTATCATCCTTGCAGGGGTGAGTGCATTGATCCTCTGCACAACGTCAGCTGTTGTGGTATGGCTTCTTGCACATAAACGGGGCAAAAAGAGAAAACGATCTAGAAAAGTATCTAATCCAGCTGCTTCTCAGTCAGTTCCTCCCTCATGGAAAGTTTTTACCAAAGAGGAATTAAAGTCTATTACGAAGAACTTCAGTGAAGGTAGCCGCCTTGTTGGGGATGCCAAGACTGGCGGTACATATAGTGCAGTCCTACCTGATGGCTCAAAGGTTGCAGTCAAGAGATTGAAGAAGTCAACTTTTCAGAGGAAAAAGGAGTTCTATTCTGAAATTGGTAGGGTTGCAAGGCTTCGTCATCCCAATTTGGTGGCTGTGAAGGGATGCTGCTATGATCATGGTGATCGCTACATTGTTTATGAGTTTGTAGTTAATGGCCCTTTAGACAAATGGCTACATCATATACCCAGGGGTGGTCGCAGCTTGGATTGGACTATGAGAATGAAAATCGCCACGACACTTGCTCAAGGAATTGCGTATGTTCCTAAAACTCTTATTTTTGGCCTAATCTTATAATTCATCTTGTCAATTTAGAATATATTTTATACTCCATCCGTTCCTTATTATAAGAGACATTTGATACTTATGGCATGTTCCTATATATAAGAGACACTTAAAAGTTGTCTCTATTTTTTTGTGTTGATTTCCTATTTTACCCATATTTATTATCTCCAACTCACTCTCTCTCTCCCCCCCACTTCTCTTTCTTTTAATAATTTAATTGTTCTTTCTCATGCTCTCTCTTTTTATTAATGAGGGCATTTTTGGAAAAAAATTATACTTTTTATACATTAATTGTTCTTAACTAATTTTAACTGTTTTTTTTATCAATGCACTTCAGTTATTTGTCTCTTATAATAAGGAACGGAGGGAGTAATTTCTATGACACAATTCTTTTTTTCTTTTGGCCAATGAGCCACATTCTAAACGGAAAAACCAAAATCTCACAGCAATACCAGTTGTGCTGTTTGGGCTGTAACTAACTCTTTGTTTGGATGAGAAGAAAAGCTGAGAGGAAAGAAAACTAGGGAAGAAAATAGGAGAAAAAATAATCATTGCCTTATTTGGATAGGTAGGAAAAATAAGAGGAAAAAATGGGGGTGAAAAACATGTGGGACCCACTTGTTTTCTCTCCGACAATGGAGATATTTTGGAGAGAAAATCTATGTTCCAAAGATGCCCTCCTAATCGCACTCCACAAGCACCATAAGCCTTTCCTATGAGTTCCTTTTTTTTTCCCCTGTCAGTGTCGAGTTCGTCATCTTCCTCTTTCCTCTGCTGCATCTCCGTGTCTTCTCTTTGCTGATTTTCTGCATCTTCTCTTCACCGTTGGGACCTCTTCTCTTTGTCTTCTCTAAAATGTGTGCTATATATGGGATGTGAAAAGGAGGAAGGATTTATGCATGCGGCATTTATTATCTGATAGATTTATGTGCACGCGCATGTGCGTTTATTAGGGAACCAATTAACTAGATTTTGACCTGATTACTAATATCTCAAAAAAAACTGACTCAAAATGTAACACCTTTAAAAATTAGTGTTTTATTTGTTATTTATATAATTGTATAATATTATATAAATATTTTGGTTTTAAAATGCTTGGTTATGCTCTAATTCTCTTTATTTTGGTGGTTTCTTATTTTTATTTTTATAATATCACTGCTGTGATGGGTTAAAATCTGGATAAAGAATCACCGTGCTTTCAACTTCAGTATGCTAAAAAATGAAGCCACTTAATAAGCCACTGTGTACTTACTTTTTCATAGCAGTGAGCATCATCGTTAAGAATCCAATTTTGAACATTTCATATAACGGTGTTTGAATTGTTGGCGAAATTGTTGGTTTAAATCTCTTCATGTGATTAGCTGCTCGCAGTGAGCACACAATTTCATGTTAGAATTTTAGGGTGGATGCAAGAAAAGTCCCTTTGTTGAGGTGTTAGATTTAACTCAAGCGCTTTTAAAAAGTGCTTTCATACAAATCAAGATAAAACTCTTTTTACATACTTATTTCATATACCGTAAAATCACTTTTAAAAACATTGATTAGTTTTCACCCAAACACCTATAGTTGAATGCTTGTGAATAATGATATTCAGTACTTCCATCTAGAGATAATTAAGAATTTCTTCTCAATCTCTGCTTTGGGAGAAAATTGATTTTTTTCCTCTTTGCAATCTATCATCAAATTTTCGTTTAGATTATTTATGCATCTAGCCGTGTGAGATCATTTTATTTATTAATAATTGATTCCATTAGCACCGCCCCTACAAGTAGTTTCTTCTGGAAGGTTAGATAAATTTTCAACATACTCTGTTCCAGCTGAATTGTCCAGGTAATGGATGGCATCTGCTGGTTCATGATTGTGTATTAGAACTTGTCGTTCTTGCAGTGTATGATGTTAACTTCAATTATATAAACTCTAACATGGCTGTTATGCTTGAAACTTGATTGAATAGCCTTTCCGTATTATTAATGGTGTATTTTTGTTTTCATCCTTTTAATTGCAAAGGTCTTTCTTCTTATGATTCTTGTTTTCCCCTTTGTTTCAACAGCTTTCTGCATGACAAGGTGAAGCCACATGTTGTTCACCGGGATATACGGGCCAGTAATGTGCTACTGGATGAGGAGTTTGGAGCTCACCTTATGGGAGTTGGTCTATCCAAGTTCGTGCCATATGAAGCCATGCATGAGAGGACTGTGATGGCAGGTGGCACTTATGGATATCTTGCTCCAGAGTTTGTGTATCGAAATGAGCTCACGACGAAGAGCGATGTTTACAGTTTTGGTGTGCTGTTACTTGAGATAGTGACCGGACGTAGACCTGCACAGGCAGTGGATTCAGTGGGTTGGCAGAGCATATTCGAATGGGCGACGCCGCTAGTACAAGCACATCGCTATCCAGAACTCTTGGATCCTCATATATCTTCCTCCTCATCATCTACGATCCCTGAGGCTAGCACAATCCAGAAGGTGGTTGACCTTGTCTACTCATGCACCCAGCACGTCCCATCTATGCGCCCTAGAATGTCTCATGTTGTCCATCAGCTCCAACAATTGGCTAACCCACCAACCAAGTGATGCGAAGATGGTTATACAAGCTTTTAGCTCGAGTTGTCGTATGCATCATATGCCCGTTTAGTTAAGGGGTCCGAATTGTTAGCTTTTGTGAAATACTGAAATGAGGAAACGTGAGCTATCGTCCAACTCATTAGGTTCTCCAGGAGCGACTGCCATCCAAATTACACATGTAATGTGATTTAGAAATGCTCTCTAGGTGCATTTATACCCCCATTATTTTCATCCCTAAGAGATTCGTTAGGAATATACATCTCTCTCTGCCTAACCTCTTAATTAGTTTTTTAACTTGTTCTTTTTTCCCCATAATGGTGTTTTTAAGTTATTTCAAGGGAAGGAGATGGAAATTGTTAATTCCAACAGATTAGTTTCAAGCTTAAAAAACTTGCGCTGCCCGGAAGAATGTCATCCGTTTTTCCCCAGGAGCAAGGAAAAGGCGCTATGGGTGGGGGGTTGCAGGATATAAGATAAAATGAACAATATAGCAGGATATGCGCATTCAATGAATACAAGAAGCTTTTCTCTGTTTTTTTCTCCTTTTTTTTTGGCGGGGTGTTTGGGAATCAAGATATACATTTTTCTCCTTGGGAGAAAAGACAAAGTTCAAAACTTCAAAGCTAAACCAAAGAATAGCCATCTTCACATAGGGTTGCCAACTCGTGTGCTTCACGGGGAGCTTCAAGGGGATGATCCTAAGAAAGTATCACTGATATCGACGATGTTCCTGAACAGTTCTGGAAGAGGTCATGAAAAGCGAATAATCTCAATTCCTGCGCCAAAACAAAAATAAAACGAAATAAATACCCCGTCTTCCTTTAAATTTCAAACTCCAGTTTTCCCTGTCTTCGAAATGTTCAAGATCGCCATGCATATGGATGCAAGTGAGGATTCATGAAAACAGAACCAAATATTCAGGTGCATTCATGACATCATTAATTTTCAAATATGCAACTGCCACACTATGTGACGATAGTGTTCATGTACTAAATCAATTCCACATAAATTCTTATAGGTTCGACATAAGCCAAAACCATATGCATAGCCCATCAAAGGATCGCGGAAAATGAAAGACAAAAATACTTCCCAAGAAAACCACCAATAATGTCATCCGGCTTGTAAAAAAATAGCAATTAATAAAACTGCAGACGAATCCATGACACCATGTAGAGCCGACGCAGGATGCATGTTTACTGAAATATTTGCCGTCATGGACATTATGCTTGTGTTAAGATACAGACACTCTAACATAATGCGACCATCAACCCCCCGGTGGGGGGGGGGGGGGTTGACAATAAGGATCATTTACGATTAGTCAACTGACCTCAATCAATGGATTCTGTTGTTTGAGATTGTTGCTCCTCGACTAATGTCTGTATTCTCTGTAGCAAACATTAAAACCTGGTGCTCAGGGAAAGGAATAAGTTGACACTGGAATTATACAAGTAACTAAATCTTTTTGCTTTCCTCCACTAAAAGGTATGATCTCTCACAGGGTACTTGAACCATATTTTTTCATCCAAACGTTAGAATGATATCATTAATCTTCGGCAAATAAAACTACCTTGACAGAGCTTCCAACTTCCTCTAGTTTTTGCAGTAGTAGTAGATCCCCTGAAGGAGTGGAATCATGTCTAAGTGACTTTGACGGAGACATCTACAAAGATCAAGGAAACACGAAGTCAATAACATGATCACTCGAATGGCCACCACTATTATTGGTCATTCAGAGTCCAAAAAGACAACAATTAAGCGTTTTCCCACCACACAGGCTTATGGTAATACTGTAAATCTGGTGCGTGGCCTACCATCAGATGAGGAACATCTTCTATTGTAGAAACCTGTCTCGATGCAATTTCATTTCTCATACTTGATACACGCAACATAACAGCCTGGAAAGTATCAAAAGGTGCAAAAAGAAATCCCATTCAGACAATCCATCTCAGCATCTTCAAATGGCAGCAAGAAGAAGGGAAACATTTTACTAGGGTCAGTCACACATTACAGAATACCTTCCTGAAAGCATTTGGATTTGCAATACCATGAATTTTAACATCATCACTGGCTGGTCTTCTTACACCAACGTTTTCGATTCTAAGAGAATAGACACCAAAAAGGGACTGCAAATATCCTAAAAGCAAATATAATCATATCTCAGATTAGAACCATATGAATATATGGAAAAATTCAAGATTAAAAGCCTTTAAAGGAAGAAATCCATCCTGCCAAGAGGACAGTGGGAAACAGAAAGAAAATGGCCCCAACTCTAGCATAATATATAACAACAATGCACCTTGTTCAACCACAACATCTGCCACAGAACGCAAGAGAACATGCTTCTCTTTCTTTAGCACCCCAAAACATGGAAATGGCACCGGCCTGGTGACCTGAAGTAAATAAAATTATAACAATTCATGGGATCCATGCAAGCATTCTTATGTAGTAACGTGTGATTAGAAGAACTTGCACCCAAAATAAAATACATAATCTTGCCGCCTATTTTACAGGGATAAAAATGTCATACTGCGAATTTATTCAAATATAATCATGTACAATATTACAATAGCATTTGGAGTGAGGAAGAGCTTTCTCGTGCTGTCTTACCTTGTATACAATAGCATTTGGAGTGAGAAAGAGCTTTCTCGAGCGAATATCCTTCCTAAGTATATACCTCCGGACCGGTAGATACAGCAGCATGAGCAGCCCAATGCCCCATGCTAAGATCAACAAAAGTGAATAAAGAACCCATTGTGCTGTTTGATGCTTCACAAAGTTCTCTTCCATCTCTCCAAAAGATGCAGTATACAAAATTGTTTCATCGTCTTTAGCCTCACTCTCTTCTTGCGCGCCAGCCTCCAACAGACTTTTCTCCAACTGACCCACATCCACAACCTCCTCTGTCGTCCTCATATTGGGTGTATCAGGTATCCAAGGATAGCTTCATCGCAGAAAATTAAACCCGAGTTACTCAAGAGTCAACCGCATTGCAAAACCCTAGCTAGGCCCGAAATATTGCATGTATCTGCCTCAATTTATCAATTGCATGCACATATTATTTTATTGCAAAATCCTAGACCCGTAAAAGGAATTCATTTCCATCGAGCTTACCGAGTTCGAAGCTTTCGTCTTCTTCCTCAGCCAAGATTTCAAAGTTCCGTCTTCCAGAGCTCCGCAGTGAAACTGGTTCTGGAAGCAGCCCAAGAATTTTTTTTTTTTACCGGGAATTGTTATTAGCAATGAAATAATACTAATTTGCGCTAATTAATACTCGACCCCCACTCCGGGTCCTTTTCTAGTTCCAGAGACGAGCTGATAATTTCTGGGATCTAAACTAAAGCACATTACAGGATGAGGATCCAATCCACCAACAAGCGTTGACTGGGCGATGAGGAAACAATCCCCTATATTAATATCGGCAGCCCACCTGCACATTTGAGCTTCCCAAGCCACGCCATTTATTTTATTAGGCCACGTGAGCTTCGGATTAGTTTTTACTCTCTTCTGTACGTAAAAATTAAAAATATTTTTATAGACGTTCAAATATTTGTTAAACAAGGTTTGTATTCACCATGGATATATCTTTCTTTAATATAGATTCTTGTCAGAATTTTATTTTAGTTCTAAATATAAAACCCTAATATATTGTCGTGTATATTTATGTATTTTTTTTTCAAAGCAGTCTTTTTCATAATAATAGTTTTATTCAACACGCTTGATTAGTAAAAATATTTTAAGAAAGATATAACATATTTATTATAAATAACTAATTTAATTTGTTTTTCTAATTTATTTAAATTAATCAATTAATTTTTATATTTAGAAGCGGTGGTAATATCATATAATTAATTTTTGTGACGTAGCACAACCGTATTGGAATGCAAACGAAACTGGACCTGATTACTTGATACTAATTCATATACTTTTGTTACGGTTTGTAGTCTCTGGCGACTTATTTTGTATTCTACATGGAACATAATACTGTTTCGAGATTAAAATTCCAATTGAATTCAGTTTTTCTTAAACGTATTAATTCTTTCTTCTCATGAGTCTAATTTGCTTTATATGCGCGCGTGTTTATACATATGTTAAGCATCAACAAAACCTATGGCAAATTACGGTCAAGAGCATTAAAAACACACACACACACCCATGCGTAGATAATTTTAGTGTGATAAAAACAAAATCTTATATATTAGTTGGGCCGGGATATTAGCACAAAATAGGGGTAATGATGAATGGGTCCAGTGCGGAGTGGCCTCGTAGGGCTTTGATGAATGTTGATCCAGCCCAATAAGAAGCTCGCTCACAGTAAATCAGAGAGCTGGAGCCGCGCAGAAAGAAGAACGAGGAGGAGGAGGATGTATTGTTCTGCTGAATTGCTTGACCATTAAAAGTGAAGGAAGAGAGAAGGATGGGGGCGAAAAAAAGCGCGAATTCAAGTGAAGTAGTTATGGAAAATAAGATTAAGAAGAAGGAGGCGATCAACAATGAAGGTAAAGACGGCACTATTTTTGCCTCTTGCTCTTTCTCAAGCCTGGGACTGCATCCTACCTTGTGCGACGAGCTCCGTGGTATTCATCTCTCCCTCTCATGTGCTTTTTGAATTTTGTCTGGATGGAAAAACTCTAAACTTGTATGGAAATGAACCAAAATTTGGTTTTGGAAGCTGTGATGCTTTCCATATTTTCCTTGATATACTGGAGTCGTTTTGATTGCCTCTTAACACTTGGATTAACTTTGAGAGTGGACCTTGCTTTTATTGTGTTTGCAGGAAGAATGGGTTTTGAAGTTCCAACCTCTGTACAAGCCCAAGCTATTCCTGTTATTCTCTCGGGGCGTCATGTGTATCCTTCCCTTTAAATTTTCTTTTCATTCTCTTTTTTAAATGATTATCAGGATGTTTTCTTCCCTTCGCACTTTATTAGCGTGAATTTTTTTTCCTTTAATAAGAAATCAGTCTTGTTAATGCTGCCACGGGCACCGGGAAAACTGTTGCATACTTGGCTCCAATTATTCATCATTTGCAGAACTTTGATACCAGAATCCAACGGTCTGATGGAACATATGGTGAGTACTTTTTTCTTATAAGAAAATTAAAAGATATCTTCATTTTATAACTGCAGAGTTTCCACCCTGTTAAAAGCTACTGTTCAGCGTTGCACTTTTGACGCTCGTGTAAAGTCTGCGAGCTTTCTTCTCTTGCATATGCCGGTTACTCTTAATCATATCATGTTACCTCAGATATAGGAGTTATATTGAGAATAAAACTTACTCATAATTCATACACTGTTAACTTTCTCACTCAATCTTTTGTCCATCACTGATCTTGTTAAGTATTTGTTATCAAGGCCATTTGTTGGTTTTTTTTGGAGAGAAAACTGATGTTAGATTTTTCAATAGTTTGTCATAAAGGAAAAAAAAGTTTTGAACATTGTTTTGTATCATACGTGCTTTTGTCCTTGAAATTACTAAGAAGCATGATATGTCGTCCTAGTTATCAAAAGTTCCAATCATATGAACTGTACTGAAGAATTAATTGATTTATTGGCAATAGCGTTGGTCCTTGTGCCAACGCGGGAGCTATGTTTGCAGGTTTATGAAATTCTTCAAAAGTTATTGCATCGATTTCACTGGATTGTACCTGGATATGTAATGGGTGGTGAAAATAGGTCAAAAGAGAAGGCCAGGTTGCGCAAAGGTAAAAATCATGTGCATCCATCACCAACCCCTGATTGAACTTCATTTATAAATTCTTTTCTTTCATCTTATCACATTTCATGGGTAGCATGTTCATGTCATGTTGCATTACTATCTAGTCTAAGTAGGTAATAGAGTATGGAATCAATACTTGTAAATGCAAAATTATCCATATACATACAGTTAGACATATTTTCATATGTATTGCACAAAGCTTGAGGTATGAGTCACATTTTTTATGGCTGAAGAATAGTGCGTTTGCTAAGGCAGGCAGAAGGGGGGAGAGGGCTCTATTGAAATATATGAATCGGCCGACTAGACTGAGGAAAAGGTTAAATGCCTTGATAAATTTGTGGGATAAAATTTTGAAACCATGTAGGCTGTTGGAAAAGCCGCATCATAACAACATATGAAGAGTCATTTGTTTCTGATGAAAGCTCAAAGCTTGAATATCCTGATTAAATGTATTTATAACATTTGTTCCTATTTTAGGCATATCAATTCTTGTAGCAACTCCTGGCCGCCTTTTAGATCACCTGAAGAATACATCATCATTCTTGTACACCAATTTGCGCTGGATAATCTTTGATGAAGCTGATAGGTATGGTTTTCAATCTATGACTTAATCATAAATACCATATGTTGTCGTCAGAAATCTGGTACTGTTTGTAGAATCTATCCTATGTTTATCATACTTTAATTAGCTTAATGCGTGCTTTCTGACAGGATTTTGGAATTAGGATTTGGAAAAGAAATAAAGGAAATACTAGATCATTTAGATGCAAAAACAGGTTGTGCTAACCAAGAGCATGCAGTTTCAAGGCACTCTGGAGCTCTAAGACAGAATTTGCTCTTATCAGCTACTTTAAACGAAAAAGTGAATCATCTTGCTAAAATTAGTCTAGAGAATCCTGTGATGATTGGTCTTGATGGCAAAGGGACAGAACCAATTTCGACAAAGGAGAGCCTTGATTCTTCAGAATCTGATGGGGAGAGTGAAGACAATGAAGAGAAGTATCCCAAAAACATGCTGCATACACCTGCCGGAGATTATAAAGTTCCCACACAATTGATTCAGAGATATGTTAAAGGTATGTTGTAATTTGAGGTTTGTGACAATGAATTTCCTCAAGTTATCATAGTATATTAAGGTCCTTATTTATTTTTCAGTACCTTGCGGTGCACGTCTTGCTGTTCTTCTTTCAATTGTGAAGTACCTTTCTGAAAGGGAAGCTTCACAAAAGGTTCGGCTTAATCTCCAGCCCTCTTTTTCTGCCACACTTCCCCTATATCATTTTTATTGGATCTCTAAAATTCGTCTTAATGCATGGTGTTGGCAACAACTATATTAAGTGGGCTGTACATGAAAAAACTCTTGTGGAGTTGGCATTTCAATTTTTTTGGAAATAAAATATATGTTTTGGTTATTTGAATTAACGTTCAACGTTATGAATTATAGCTTTTCACTTTTGTATATTTTATTAAAGTTTTTGGTTTTGCTCCTCTGGCCACATCATTGACTTGCTTGTTTCACAGATTGTGGTATTCTTTTCGACATGTGATGCGGTAGACTTCCACTTTTCACTGTTAAGGGAATTCCAGTTTTCTGCTCCACAATCAGAAGGAGATGCTAGACAGATGTTTCTGGGGTGTAAAGTGTTTCGTTTGCATGGGAACATGGATCAGGAGGACCGAAGGAATACTTTTCAGACGTTTAAAGCAGAGAAAGCAGCGCTGCTGTTTTCCACTGATGTAGCTGCTAGAGGACTGGATTTTCCAAAAGTCAGATGCATTATACAATATGATTCTCCAGGGGAAGCCACTGAATATGTACATAGGTATCTAGTTATCATTCCATTTCAGCTTCTTTTATGTTAACCCCCCCCCCCCTCCAGATTTTGGGGTGTGCCGGTGCTCTTTTCAGTAGTTATTGCGCAGTGTTAGTTATGCACACTCGCATCATATCTATTTTATTGTTTTCCTTCATCAAAATTTCATTTAAGAAAGGACATGCCCCATTTAGATTTGTCTGTTTGGGGTTTGAGTGCGGCTAAAACATGTTATCTAATTGACTAGGAATCCGCTTCTACCTAAAACATGTTATCTAATTGACTAGGAATCCGCTTCTACTTAAATCTTCATGGTTGGTTAATTATACTATTCCATGAGAATAACAAGATAACTCAGACCTATAAAGACAATAAGGAGTCAGAATGTACTTCAAGTGGCTTAGTTGTCTAATTAAATCTTCATGGTTGGTTAATTATACTATTCCATGAGAATAACAAGAGAACTCGACCTATAAAGACAATAAAGAGTCAGAATGTACTGCAAGTGGCTTAGTTGTCTAATGAATATTTCATGATGCAGAGTTGGTAGAACTGCTCGGCTGGGTGAAAGAGGAGAGTCATTGTTATTTCTGCAGCCAGTTGAAATAGATTATTTACAGGACTTGGAAAAACATGGTGTATCACTGACGGACTATCCTCTCCTCAAAGTGTTGGATAGTTTCCCACTATATGGTCAAAAGAAGCATACCAAGAATTTTGTTGCCATAGAGTCGCATCCCTGGGTCATTTGTCTTCAGAAGGCACTTGAATCTTTCATCATGTCTAAGGTGATCATTATCAGTTTTCTTATATAATTTTATTTCTTTGTTTTATCTTATCTGATCGAATAATCCTTTGAAAGTTGAGTTTTAGCTTATATTTTATTTTGACTATGAAACCTTGTAACCTAAGTTTGGAGTCCAGGTTCATTGTTGGTGGATTTGGTTTTGCATTTATGAATATAGCAGGTTTTTTGCATGTACACAATTACATAAGGATTTATAGTCTTCCAATAATCAGACGAGAATATCAATTATATTCTCTCCCAGGAGAACTGATTTTTGCACAGTGGAATGTATGGGACTTGAAGTTTTCTCAATATGTTTTCTGGCGCAGATTACTGATAACAACATAGAACATACCATTAACGGGTATGATTGAAAGGAAACTGTAATGAGGAAGGCTATTTTAAGTTGGCAGTCTCATTCAGTTGCATGCTACGTGTGATGGTCATCATAACTACTGATTTTGTATTCCTGCTGATTGATCATTAATCCTTTGGGAAATGCCAATATTAGGCTTCATAAGCTTCTTAGTCCTGGAACTTCAAGTATGACATGGTTGTTAGTATTGGCCATTGGCTAATGATTTTCTTCTGAGGAAGGTGTGACAATCGTGATTGCTTGCGTCTTTTTGTGCATCTAACAAAGTGAATGAATGACCGGTGGGGGTCTTTGGACGCGATTCCTTTTACATCTAAATGAGATTTTCTTTTTTCTTTTTTGATTTTCAATTAGAATGGCTGATAAGCTCTTTCACATTTTTATAGTAATATATTCCTGTGGTTTTGATTTGCCTTTGTACCTTAAACTAATAACTAACTTGTCATTCTCAGCCCAAAATTGATAAACTTGCCAAGAGGGGATTTTGCTCTTGGGTCCGTGCCTACGCTGCCCATCGTGGTGATTTGAAAAGGATATTTATGATCAAGAAACTCCACTTGGGGCATGTAGCAAAAAGCTTTGCACTTAAACAACAACCTTCCTTAGTTGCAAAGTCATACCAGAAGCAAGCTAAGAGGAAGAGGCTTCAGAAGCAAAGCGGGCTGGCTAAGAAGAGAAAGATCACCGGTGTGACATGAGACAGACCTTGGAAGTTTTTAATCATAGAAGCAGAAGATAAACAGTATCTGAATCTTGTTCATTCAAGTGACTGATGAATGATGATTACGGATGTTCATTCAACTGATCGATTTGAACGGAGCTAGCCTTTTGAAGTTTTAGAGAAATTTACGCTGTCAAATTTGGAGAGAGAGATTAATTTTAGGGTGTATCATCGATGGATCTCACTTAGCTTCCGATTGCGGGTTCTGAATCATCATCTCTTGTCTCTAAAGTCTGAATCACCCCAGTCCCCCCACATTTCACGCATGAATGGCGATGAGGCCTTCGCGATGTTTCACTAAAAATGCCGTGTGGGTGACTTCTGTATCCATGCTTCAGTATGCACTGTGCAGTATGATTACTCTCAGTTGATATTTATTTTCAAATCCTACCTATCAATGTAAAAGTAAAATCCAGGTCAATGTTACTTTACTGTATACACTGTCTTCTGTGCCTTCTATCTTTTCTTGTTCATTTTTTTCTTCGTTATTATTCTAGTTTAAATGAAAAGTTGGCTGGCTTTTTTGGATTTATTATTTTGTTTCCTATGTTTTAGATTTTTGAAGAGCCAAAATCCAAAGCTTCACTTGATTTCTATATAAATTACTATTCTAGATTGTGTAAGTTGTACACAAATTAAATTTTATATTTAAAACCAGAGATAATGTGTCGTAACAAAAGGTAATTGCCCTTCACCAAAAAAAAAAGAAGGTAATTGCCAGTTTTAGTATTTGTGTCTTCAAATTCATTGCCAGAGTTAGTTCAGAGCTATTATCCTTCAGCATGATTTTTTTTTTTTTTTCAATTTACAAAGACAAGCCTAAGCTTGAAGAGCGTGGGGTTTTCTTTTAGGCCATGAAGCTGCTAGAAGGCGAACCAGAAGATTGCTCTTGGACCCGAGCTAAATGTCAATTCAAAAGGCAATGGCTTCGAAACTTACTAGCCCTACAAATTAGAGGAGTATTATTTTAATCCGTCTAGGTTTCTTATTTCTGGGAAGCCCGTCCTTTTAAATCTGTAATCTTTTTATCCTGTTTTAATGGATTTGCCTTTAAATTTTAAAAAAAAATTCTTACACGCGCATAATGAATGTGACGATTTACATTTTCAAATCGTCAGCGAAAATTAGTCTCCATCTGATGACAGCAGCAATATCGATTTTTTTTCCCCCTGAAAGAAAAAGTAATAATTTCAGGTGATGATTTAAGACTCAGATCGAACTAAATGGTCGAAGGCAGCTCATTTCAACAGCTTGGACCATTTTAAGAGTTGGGTCATTTTGAACCGTCTTGAACTAACTTTTGAGCTAAAAACTGGAGTGGCTTTTAATAAACCAGGCGGGTCATAATGATGGTCCAATTACTGCATACGTTTGCAGGACAATTCAAAATACTGGGGATTATTTAATGAAAGAAAAATATAGTGATTGCATATCAGAACTGATACTTTGTGATTAAGTTGCTAGCTTCTAATCGGTAACCATTCTTTTCTTTTCTTTTTTCTTGAATAACATGGCAAGCCTAAGCTTGTGAAGATTACAATCGACTCGTACCGGCCAGTCAGGTCCACTAAAGCTATTAGCAAGATCTCCACACATTTGGTTTACACAAAAGATTGGGGGTATGTGAATCATATTCACCCCCACATTCCCCTCACGAGCAGTCCTTGCAAGGAAATCAGCGCACATGTTCGCCTCCCTGTTGATATGGTAAATTTCAACGTCCCAATTAGAGAAAATTATGGACCTGGTTTCAGTTATTTCCTCTCTATAAGGGTGCAGGAGGTTGTAATCTGTAGCAAGCAGTTGAATAACTTTCCAAGAATCAGAATAGGGTTTCACTTTACGTATTTTGAGTCCGGCCTGAATTGCCATTGATTCTGAAGTAGTTGCTCCTGCCTGACCAAGTTTCTGTTGGAAACCCAGCAGCCAGTTGTCCTGCTCATCTCTGATTAAACCACCACAAGCTAATCGATAACCATTCTAGATTTAAGAATTTAATGATTTTCTGTGTGGCTTGCGCAGTTTAATCTTTTATATAAATTCACCCTGCATTGTTAGGAAAAGTTGATAGCGTACAAAATGCTTATAAGGTAGAAATATGTGTATATAATATAAATTTTTTACTTAATTATGTTATTGGTTCAGTTATGATCTGGTTTAACCATTAGAATAGTGATTTGTCTTGTTTTTATTTTCATTTCATGTGAGATGTAATGCTTTTTCTCCCTAAACACATATTTTTTTTGTTAAAAGAAATTCTGTTCGTGACACTATCAGATACTAAACCAACGAAAAACATTAGTTTGATATGCTATGAGGAATTAGTCTTGTACCTTAGATCCAACACATTAATAAAATATTTGTTTGTATTTATTGGATCTTAATATAATATAAGATATATTCTGCAGTGCATTTATTTCATCTAATGCTTGTACTGAGCAATACCGAAATCAGATCACAGCACCACTACATCATCATCATATTGGGTGAAACAAAACTGACTGACTCATGCGTGCAAGGAAGACTAAGGCAGGTATGAAGATTTCTTGTATCCTACGAAAGAGGGGCAACGAAGAATGAGGAAGCCAAACCACCACCATATTATTATTGAAGCTGTTCTTATTCTATTCAATTTGAATCCCTTCATCTCCGAGATCGCAGACATTATAGTACTCTCTTTCAGATCCACCTAATTCACTGTCTCCCTCTTGCACATGGCTTCCCTCTCTCATTCTGTTGCCCATAATTGAGCATGTTCCTTCACCTCCCTATTTATTTATACTTATTCATGAACCATCCAGATTCCTTTTCTTTTCCTACATAATTAAAACAAAAATCTTGTTTTGAATCCATCTTCATCTCGAACTTCCATCATAGTACATGGCTAAGAATATGTTGTTTCTTTTGCCCTTTGACGATCAATTGATGCTAATCATCTCTCTATATGGGAAGAAGGCGGGCAAAATTAACGATGATAAATTCTCAGTCTATTTTCCAGTTGTCTAATATTAAGAAATCGAATTAGAGATGAAAGAAGTACGTGGAGGGTCAAATCAGAAGCAGGAGTAGGGTCGTAGTCACAACGCGTTGACGATGGAACGGCCATGAGCAGAAGGGAGGGCTCCACGTCATCTGAAAATATCATCACACGGTTGGGTTGTCAAGTGGGCCCACTCTATTGGACCGAATCTTAGGCCCACGAGGCCCACTCCACGTCCTCCTTGTCGGACAGTCCCTTCTTCTTTCATTTCCATTCATGTCCCGCTTCCCTTTTCTGATGCAGACTTTGCCTTCTTACATCTCATTTTTCTTCCTACTGGGGACGCCCCCCTAAAGTAGCAAAACATATATTATTTTCTTCACTTTTATATTCCGAAAATAAATATTTTATTTAATTTTTGATAAACTTGACGATGCTAAAGGTGTTCTTCCCAAATGGAATCTGGAGAGCAAAAGAAAAGGAGAGACAGTCCTATGATGATTACTACTTTGGCATGCACCTGTAATCATTGATTATTCCCTTTTGATTAAATTAAATGATCAATTATAACTATAATATTAGTGATTTGTACATGGTGCTACTTTGTTATCATCTTTAAACGGATAAACTTTACTTAATTTTTTCTTCTTTCAGGTCCTTGGTGAGATTTTTTCAGGTATTTGGTAACGGCAATTGGTGAGATTGTTTCATTTACGTATTGATGTATTCCGAAAACCCAGTATATACATATGGAGGACCATTTTTTATTCTCTTTCCCAGGGGGGAAAAAAGAAAGCACATACATGTCATGATTAGTTTTATTGAGAACCGAAAGAAAGCATCCCTCTGGCTACGTTTTTAATGGATTACTGCTCTAAATGAAGTCAATATGACTAACGATTTATGATGATGTTCCTCATAATTGGTTACTAGTATGATTTAAGGCTAACTAATTCATTGGGAAATACAAGGTTTTGACTTTTGAGTAAACATCATTGACAAATCAGACATCAACGCTCTTTAACTGTTACTTTTAACGAACATTATATTGACGGGATATTATCACTAATATCTACTCTATAAGTTGTAAACTACTTAATTATAAATGCAGAAAATCTCTGATCTCTCGTAAATTACCAACATAGTCAAATAAATTAACTTAACTTTTATATATAGGCCGAACAATGACGTTTTCGTTTGAAACGAATGTCGACAAAAACAAGATATATGCCACTAGCTATTATAATTAATTAATATAATTAGGTCCAAGTTCGTTGCTTCCTATGCACAGTTCTGGAGTATTAGAATTAAGCTTTAAATGGGTGGTCCAAGTTGTGAGTGCGAAAGGTAATAGCGAGGGAGAAGCAGTGCAAATGTAGAAGGAGCTTTCATTATCAAAGGGTTTGGCCTCTCTTTTTCTCATGATACTATATGGCTTTGTGACATATCTGAACGTTGAAATAATGAATCTAAGAAATGTGGCCAAGTAGACTCGATCCTTTGGAATTATTAATTAAATTATTATCATTATAATTTGATGCCACATTCTACCTAGCTAGCTAGCTAGCTAACCCCACATTTCCTAGAGCCCCCAAATATATTGTCGCCCTCCTGATGTATACTAAACAATGATCCTAGAATCATCTGGCTATAACCAAGATATAATAGAGATGCGACTCTTTTTGAAGGGAAAGAACGAATTAAGTAGCCCTATACTTTGCGATATCATTATATATTTTTCAAAGAAAATTTTTCCAATCACAATCTTATCATTACCGCTCTAGAAATTTTATCTACTAAGACTATAAAACGAAACCCAATGAAGCCACTTACCCTTTTATTGATGATAAAGACTTAAATTAGAATATCGATACTCTTTGTGTGTATAAAATTTGCATAGGATTAGTACTTCTCGTCATAAAAAAGTGTCAAGTTCTTCTCGCCAGTAAACTTTTTAATAGAGGACTTTTCTACAATTTTCTTTTTAGTTATTGGCAATTAAGACACGAAAAAATTGTGAATCTAAATGAATATTTAGCTAGGCTCATCATATTTACACATATATATAATTGATTTCACTGCAGAAAAAAAAGAAAAAAAATCGTGGGTATTTATTTTCGGTGGTTGAGAATAGCAAGGCAGACAACAGATTTCTAAGGAACATGTAAGGATATTGGAAACTCGGATAACAGAAAACCAAATCGAAACTGCCCAGCTGGAGCATTTGAGCTCAAAGGAATTCGAAGGCTATCCCCTGGGCAGAGTTAATTAAAGCGGTAGAAAACTACAGACGTGCTCGCTCCATAGTCCATGCATTTTTATAATTATATATAACATATGTTTAACTGGTTTATGCAAGAAACTAATAAAATATAATTGTTCAACTAATAAGGTATAAAAATAGGTCAACTTTTCATTTATACCCTTAAAGACCTGCTAACCTGCTTTCCAAAATATAATCAATGGTCCGTACAACTTTGAAGGGGCTAGAGGTAAGATAGTCCAAACATGAATATTTTGAACTAAAAAGAGATTTTAGAAGATCTCTTATA